ACTCCACTAACAGGACCCTTTAACTTTGCAAACTCATTCAAAACGTTGTCCATACACACCCCTTGTCATCTGTTTGTACCACTTTTCCATATCCTTTACGTGATGTTACTGAATTCATTGGGTTTAAGGCACATGAGCAAACTCAAGAATTTGTGCTAAGTGGGGATAAAGGAAGTTCATTTCATCCCTGCGCCATGCATGCACCCTGCTCCCCACCCCATTTCGTTTCTAAATTAATTTTCACCCACCTTGAGGCATGGGTCTTTCTGAAGAAGTTTTAGGTTTGCAAAAGGCATTTGGATAAAGACTGGTGGGTTATAAATAAAATACAAAGTAAAACTGGGGCATTGAACAGCATCTGCAGCTGTGTAAAACAATGAACGTGCGGGACTTCCCTGGTGGCGCAGTGGTTGAGAGTCCGCCTGCCGATGCAGGGGACACGGGTTCGTGCCCCGGTCCGGGAAGATCCCACATGCAACGGAGCGGCTGGGCCCACGAGCCATGGCCGCTGAGCCTGCGCGTCCGGAGCCTGTGCTCCGCAACGGGAGAGGCCACAACACTGAGAGGCCGGCGTACCGCAAAAAAGCAAACAACAACAACAAAAAACAATGAACGTCTGAAACGTTCATTAGGCGCTTGATCCTCCTATGACTTCTCTGGGGGTGGCGGTGGTGGGGAGAAGGGACAGACGTGGGGAGAATGAGGGTGGGAAGCTAGAACAGGAGAATCAGCCGGATGCCAGAGGAATCTCTGCTGAAACTAAGCCCCCAGATCTTTCACATTGTACTCTGAACCGTGTCATTACGTGCCTGTCTTCGAAGGGCCAGAAATCAGTAAAAAGAAGTTCAAAAACTGCTCCATAAGCAGCTGAAAATCTGCCCTTCACTTTTCTTTCTCTGCACCCTGAGGAGTTCTAAATCTTCCTTCATTCTAACATCAAGCCTGAGATGCCAGGATCCCTAGAACTGTCTTTTATTCTGCATTATTTCTGCAACGTCCTGCCAAGCATCGGTGGGTCTTTAAAGAAACTGAGAAAAGGTAGCGAAGACACATCCATATGGCAAAGACATGAGGCACAGGGAAGGCGCACATAAATCAAAGCCAGAGAGAAGCCTGCTAGCAACCTGGAAATCAAATTGTGTCGGGGCTTACATGGAAAAATAGATTAGAAGGGCACTGAACAAGAGAGAAGAAAGACAAGCAGCCCCTACCAAAATTAATGAGAGGCAGAGGAGGCCTGGAGAAACAGCCCGAATGCAAAGACTCTCGCACTGCTTAAGGATGGATGAGCCTTTCAGCAAGCGATGTCAACTCCCGCCTGGATAACGCGATGGCTGTCCATCTCCACTTCCGTCTTTGTGTGTTTCTCCACTCTCAGACCAGGGCTAGAGGCACAGAAAGATATGAAGGGAGGAAGGAGATGTGAAAGGGATGGGAGAGCAAGTGTAGGAATTTAGATGAGCATGGAAACCTCCGTCGCAGCCCATCCTTCAGGTGACCCCCAGCGCCCAGTCCCAACTTTGTAACTGCTGTGCTGAGCGCGAGTGGGGCTGGCGAAGCCTCTCTGAACTAGGTTAATGGTACCTGTCTCACAAGTTATCCTGAGCTGGCATAACTAATGCGCTAAGTGCAGGCACTGCCACAGAGTGGGGGTCTTCATAAAGAGCGACTGTTATTATATTAAAATTTTTTTTTTACAATTTTCAAAATGCTCTTTTAAAAAACTGAAGAATAGTTGACTTACAATGTTGTGTTAGTTTCTGGTGTATGGCAAAGTGATTCCGTTATACACATAAGTACCTATTCTTTTTCAGATTCTTTTCCCTTGTAGCTTATTACAAAATATTGAGTATAGTTTCCTATTAAATAAAGTTTAGAAGCAGGTGGAAGTTGTCTCTGAAACCTTCCATTTTCATCTGTGACGTTCACGCTCCGAGTGCCCTCCTCGTTCCTTCTCTCAAAACCCTCTACTCCAGGTCTCTCCTCTACTCCAGCTCCTGTGCTGGGAGGCAGCAGTCTCTTTATCTCTTCCCAGGCAAACCTCCCGTCCTGCCAATGACACTTCATCTTGGTAAGAAGGTGGAAAAGGTCCTCCAGTGGTGGACTTTGGCCCATGACGATCACTTTGGTCAGAGTTTTTGATCCTGCATGACTCACAGCCTCAGGGAACATGTTCTGTCTCTTCTGCAGCACTTGGCATGACTGGAAGGATGGACACAAATCCCAGTGTGCAAACTCGAGTGTTCTTAAGGATTTAACTTCCTTTAATTTCTCAGCTTATTTCTATTTCAAACCTCCATTCTGCCTGGTGGCAGAAACTAAGCCAATTTGGAATTCTATTCCCGATCCCTGAGTAATAAGCATCTGTTCATTTATAACACCAAGGCTCTGTGCTTGGGCAGTTGTGGCCATCATTAAGCAATCATTGCTCAAAAAGACTTGCTAAAAAAAAAAAAAAAAAAAAAAAAAAAAAGACTTGCTTCTTCCAAACACATGGGAGGGTTGTACTTTCCTGCACATCTGAAGGTAAGTGTGGTGGTGTGACTTGCTTTGGCAAATGAATCATGAGACCAAGTGCCAGTTCATGCTTCTCCCATCCATTCCTTTTTTTTTTTTTTAATTTTATAAATGTATTCATTTATTTTTGGCTGCATTGGGTCTTCGTTGCTGCACGCAGGCTTTCTCTACTTGCGGCAAGCGGGGGCTACTCTTTGCTGTGGTGCGCGGGCTTCTCATTGCCGCGGCTTCTCTTGCTGTGGAGCACAGGCTCTAGGCACACGGGCTTCAGTAGTTGTGGCACATGGGCTTAGTTGCTCCATAGCATGTGAGACCTTCCCAGACCAGGGCTCAAACCCGTGTCCCCTGCATTGGCAGGTGGATTCTTAACCACTGTGCCACCAGGGAAGTCCTCTCCCATCCTTTCTTTTTTCCTCTGCCCCAGAGACTGGCAACTTTCCAGATAGAGGCTGCTCCACTGGGTCCCAAGGCAAAGACAGGGCTGACTCAGCACAGAGTTTTCAGCTGATCTGCAGTAGAACAGTAGTGTGAGTGAGACATGAGGCTTGGTTGTTTGGGGCACATAGACTTGTTTTTGTTGTAGTTGTTTTTGTCACCTCAGCATATTCCAGTCTACCAGAAGGGTACAGGTGACAGCATCCACCCGAGATGTCCTCGTCCCCACCTTGTCTTCAAGTCATCTCTGTATGACTCATCTCTGTTCCCCACCTCAGGGCCTCCTCAGGTCCAGACCTCTCTCAGTTGTTTCCAATCCCCTCTCAGAGGACAGGGACAAGTTTGTTGTCACAGCACCGCACTGGACCATGGGAAATTCTATGGGGTGTTTAGGTCCATCTGCCCAGACATTCCGTGCCACCCAGAGTCTCATGAGTGACCTGGAGTTCTACCAAAGAAAGGAGCAATCCTCCCCACTATTCCCACTATTCCCACTTCTCCAGGAGGCTTTGGCACACCCTTTTTCCCGAATCCCACTCTCTTCTGGCTTTTCCTGAAGTCCTACTTGCCCTATCCTTGCCCTCAAACCTGGGGGACCTTAATCTGGCCTCAGGTTAGAGGCCTTGTTCCTCGTCATCAGCTGCTTCCCAAATTTATTATGTCTGCATGGTGTTCTTTCCAATCCCAAAGCTGGGCTTTTACAAATTGAAAGCCAGGAATTGCCCCTGTGTGTCTCAGAGTTCTGCCCCAACTGCCTGAACGGAACAAGGACCAAGGAAATGGAGTGAGTGGTGGTGTTGGTAGAGATGCCAACTGATATTTCAAAATATTATTCTGTACATAAGTGATCTGTCCAATTATGAAGCTGAGAATTAAAGGGGGCCTCACTGAAAGGAATCCAGTGTGTGACTATTTTAAGCCACTGTGCAACCTCAATGGCCCCGCCTGTGGATGCCTTTGTATAATTGTTATCCTTGCAAAATTTCTCAGTGCCAAAGCCCAAGGATGGTCCTGGGCATTGTGTCAACCCTATAGACTGGAAGATCCTTGAGGGCCCAGACCCTTCCTTCCAAGTATCCTGCAAATCTCCAGACTTTAGGAAGTTAACGAATACAGGAAGCAGTTAACTAGCAAATGACAATGAGGATATTCTCATCACACTTCAGCTCTCAGCCGCAGGATGTGCCCTGTCTCGTGCCAGCCACTGAGATCCTGAAAAGGGCCTCCCTTTCCCTCCTTGGTGCATTGGGAAAACGCAAGATATAAACATAGATCCCACGGGCTCTTGATAAGAGAAGACACAAAGCATTCAAAAGCCAATACCTGAGTGGGATACAGCTCAAGTAGTGACCTGGGATCACATAAGAGGCCTGGATAGGATGGGTAGGATAAAGCAATTTGTAAAAAGGTGGCGTCCCTAGCTCACATCATTTGCTACCTGCCGACACTTCATTTTTCTCCCAGTCTAGGCAAACCACTATGTTCTTGGTGTTGTAACAAAAAGGAGCAAAGCTACACCACTCCTCGCCTCCTTTAAACCCTTTCATCTGCCCTTGCAAGGGAAAAAACCCTCAGCGCGTGCCTGCAGGTTTAGAGTCGTTCACCCCAGAACCAAGCCCTCAACTCCTCCCGGGAAGGGCGCCAAGGACCCGAGGGCGGGGCGGCGCGGGGGGAGGGATCAGAGGCGGTGTAGGGATATCGGGGGCGGGGCTAGGGGTGGAGCAAGGGTGGTTGGGGCGCCAGGGGAGGGGTTACGGGGGGCGGAGCGTCGGGGCGGGGCCGGAAGACTAGGGGGCCCGGGCGGGGGGGCGGGGCGGCAGGGATCCTGGGGGTAGGTGACGGGGGCGGGCCGGCGGTGGCTGGGTCCGGCCTGGGAGAAGAGTCCGGTCGAAGCCTGGGCCTGCGATCCCCGACTCGGTTTTGCTCGCTGCCCGGAGCGGTCGAAGCGCAGTGGCCCGGCTCGCCCCTGCGCCCCTCGGAGCGCCCAGAGCCCGCGGTCTTTGGCGTCGAGCTCAGCGGCGTCCGACCCCGGCGCGTCTCTGACCGCCATGGCCGTCGCCGCGGGCCTGCGGGCCTTGGGGACGAAGGGGTCGGGCTGGCTCCGGCGCGGCCCGTGGCCTCCGCTCACCGCCCGCTTCTGCAGCGGGGGACCGGCTGGGGTCGGGCGGCCGGAGCCGGGGTCGCGACCCACCAGCACGCGGCAGCGGGACGGCATCAGGTCAGTGGCCCGCGGGCGTGCGGGGCTGCTCCCAGGGAGGGTGGCCGGCGGGACCCGGGAAGAGAGAGGGGCGGAGGAGGCCGGGCCGCTGGCCGCGCCACCTCACACAGAGTACAGCGAGGCCCGGTCAGTGGTCAGCTCCGCCCGCCACTGAGCCCAGTTTATCCATCACAGCGGATCGGTCCGGCGGAGAAGCCCGACGTGGAGGGAATCCGCGGATGCTGCGTTTACTGACGTCCCTTGCCTGGGCCCAGTGGCCTTCGCGACCCCGCAGGACGCACACGGAGGATTTAAGTGGGGCTACGTGGGCGGGCTCCAGCACTGCCTCTAAACCCAGGCCAAGTCGACAGTGCAGTTGGGCTCAGCGTGGGCAGCCTTGTGGGAGGCTCCACCGCTGCTGTACCTTTGAGAAAGCCCTTCAGTAGAGGGTTCTGTGCCTCACAAACTTGACCTGGCTCCGAGGCGAGGTCAGGCATAGCCGAGCTGCTCCTTGGCTGTCATCCAGAAGTGCCCACGTGAGGGCAGGTAAATAAATAGGCTAAAGGAAACAGGGTACTGAGCTCTGCCCTTTGGCTCAACAAGCCTAAAACCCTTTTACAAAAACATACCAGGGCACAAACTTGAAAGTGGACGGTGGCGTGATAAAGGTAGAAGGCCCCAGCCGCATCCAGGCCTCACTCTGACGTTTGCCTGGCCAGGGCAAGAGTGCAGAGGGAGGCCTAGGTAGCATGTCTCAGTATTTAGACCTTACAAATCAAGCTGTGAAATATGTTTTCTTCTCCTTCCCTCACAAGTAGGCCGTCATAAGACCTGGAAGGCTGTGTTTGAATTTACAATCCCCAGGCTCCTAGGAACTCCCCCAAAGCAGGGGAGAGCCTGCAGCTTTGTTCTTTTCTTCCCACCCTGTGCTGCCTGCCTGCCCCACCTCTCAAACCCTCCCTCCTGCTGCTCTGCCAGGGCCTTGGCACACAGGTCTGCAGACACCCTGTGCAGCATGCCCACAACCTGTCTAATCCTTCGCCCCCTACAGACAATTGCTCACAGCCACCCTCTGGGCCTAATGGTGCCCACTGCAGAGCCAGGGAATTCCAGGGTTTCAGGTGACTGGGGCGGGGTGTGGAAGAGGGTGGTGATTTCCAGGTGGGCACATCCCAACTTCTCAGTGGACTCCTTGCTCACCTGGAGGGGCACTGCTAGAAGAGGGCCCGGGCAGAGGCCCTTCTTGCCCATTTTCAAGGGCACTTCTGTTTTTGCAAATCTGGCCCATTTGGCACGGCAGCCAGACAACAGAAGATCTCATTGATTCTCCAGAGTTAAACATGAATCAGAAGGGGGGATGGTGGGAACAATCTATCAAACATGCTGGGAATGGTTTAGTAGCAAGGAAGCCCGGAGGCCAGCGCTAAAGCAGAACTATGTCAGGCACTAAGTGGGTGAGCTGGAGCAACTCACTCAAGTTTCCTTTTTCAAAGCTGCTCCTCTCGGTGACAGTACTGCCGTGTAGTGAGGGCCAGCTCAGAGTTGGGTACTGTGCTCAGCGCTACACACTCCTTATCCCAGCCCTTACTACAGCCCACTAGGTAGATAACGTTATCCCCACTTGACAGGGTTCAGAGAGGTAACAGCCTGTTCGAGCTCACATGGCCAGGAGGTAGGGTTGCCAGGAGTCAGAGAAAGGCCCATCTACCTCCAAACTTGTCCTCACTCTTGCCGTGCCATCTCAGGGTACTTGCCACTTAGGTTTAAAAGAGATGCCAAAAAACTAGACGAGGTTAAAATCCACAGCAGTTGGTGGAACTGGCCGTGAAAAACAGAAATGCTCTTTTTGGTCATGAATTCAGCCAACAGACACATGTTGAGTGTCTCCCGTGTGTGGGAATCTGGCAATGTCTTGCCTTCTGGACCTTCTGGTGTTTTACGCCGGTAGGATGGCCTTCCGACAGCTCACTGTGGCATCTACAGGGACCCTCTCTTGCCCCGTGAATGGAACGTTTACACTTTTTTAAAAAAAATAAATTTATTTATTTTTTGGCTGCATTGGGTCTTTGTTGCTGCGCGCGGGCTTTCTGTAGTTGCGGCGACTGGGGGCTACTCTTCGTTGTGGTGCACGGGCTTCTCGTTGTGGTGGCTTCTCTTTTGTGGAGCATGGGCTGTAGGTGTGCGGGCTTCAGTAGTTGTGGCACTGAAGTTGTGGCTCAGTAGTTGTGGCTCGTGGGCTCAGGAGTTGTGGCTCGCGGGCTCTAGAGCGCAGGCTCAGTAGTTGTGGCACATGGGCTCAGTAGTTGTGGCTCGCGGGCTGTAGAGCACAGGCTCAGTAGTTGTGGTGCACGGGCTTAGTTACTCCGCAGCATGTGGGATCTTCCTGGACCAGGGATCGAACCCGTGTCCCCTGCACTGGCAGGCGGATTCTTAACCACTGCGCCACCAGGGAAGCCCCAGAAAGTTTACACTTTTATCACGTGCCCTGGTGGTGACCTCACTCTTAAAGAGATCCTCTCTCAGGAGGCGTGGTGTTAAAGCTCCAGGTGCAAGACATCCCATGTTCTGAACCAAGGTAGCCACTGGGGGAATTCAGACGTGTGAGATTCTGAGGAGGTATTATCCACCGGGTTTGATATCCTGTGGAATGAGGAACGGAGCCATGGGGCAATCCAGGATGGCTTTCTGAGATAAGCGAAGGGGGAGGGGCTGCTGAGGTCACTGGGGGAAGACGCCCAAGGGGCGCCTCGGTGGAGGAGTCCAGGAAGCAGGCCGGTGAACTTGTGGGTCTGGAGCTCAGAGAGAGGTTTGAAGTGGAGCAAAGACTGGGCGTGGTCAGCACAGAGGTGGTAGCTGATGCCAAGGCCACGGTGAAGTTGCCCGGGAGGCGTGTATGGAACAAGAAGAGGGCAAAAGAGGGGACTCTGAGGGTCGTGGCATTTGGGGCTGAGAAGAAGGCTAGGAGCCCGTAACGGAAGTAGAGAAGGAGCAGCAAGAGACGCACCAGAGAAACAGGGGGGAGGAGCGCGTTTCCAGAAGGCGAGCAGGACCACGGCGGCCACTGGGTTTGGTTCCGGCAGTCGGGAGAGTCTTGGCAGCAACAGCTTCAGTGGAGCTGCAGGCACAGAAGCCCGGTGACCCTGGGATGAAGAGTGAACTCGCAGTTCAGAGCACTCTGACAGCACTTGGGCCAAAGGATTAATGGGACACACGACAAATCAAGGGCATTTGAGGGCTGGCATCGTTTTACACAATTTTGCCTTAGGCCTTAGAATTTAAGCATATGTCACCGATGGGATGGCAGCTTTTTAGGTTTGTTGGAGCGAGCACACTCATTATTTTATTGGAAGGCTTATCAGCAGTCTCTCTCCACCACCCCCACAATATGGTTTCTGGGGCTATAAGCATATCAGCTACCAGTCACTTTTGTACTTGGGAGAGAACATGTTTATGAGAAACCAAACAACGGCTATCACAGCCATCTGAAGATGGCAGCAAAACTGAAGTGGCATTCCAAAGAAAATGGTTCTTCTTAATAACGCAGTGAAATAAATTCAATCATCAAAGTGGTTTCCCAGGAAACAATGGCACAGAGGCTATTTATTGAGTATCCAAGTTGACACACAGCAGTGGAAATATCAGATTCAAAAAAGAATGAGGGGTCTTCCCTGGTGGCGCAGTGGTTGAGAGTCCGCCTGCCGATGCAGGGGACACGGGTTCGTGCCCCGGTCCGGGAAGATCCCACATGCTGCGGAGTAACTAAGTGCGTGCGCCACAACTACTGAGCCTGTGCCCTAGAGCCCACGAGCCACAACTACTAAGCACATGTGCCACAACTACTGAAGCCCGTGCGCCTAGAGCCCGTGCTCTGCAATGAGAAGCCACCGCAGCGAGAAGCCCACACACTGCAATGAAGAGTAGCCCCCGCTCGCCTCAACTCGAGAAAGCCCGCGCGCAGCAATGAAGACCCAACACAGTCAAAATTAAATAAATTTATATTAAATAAAAAACACTTATTAAAAAAAAAAGAATGAGGAAGGCAGAAAACGTGGGCGGAGATGGATGAGAAACAGAAAATATATAACAATCATCTGGTGTCTGGCCCGTTGCCCATTCCGTATAAGAGCAAAAAGAAGACATTTCTATGTTTAGGCAGTAAGATGAAAATCCAGGTTATTATCACCAGCACGTGGGGTACTTCAAAACAGCAAGCAGGCCTTTGAACACCAGCTTTTGGGGGATGATGTCCCGGAGGCCCTCTTGCTGTGCAGTTCTTCATGTATCACCCCATTCTCAAATGGGAATGATTTTGCTGAATTACAGGATGTCACTATAGAGGAGGTGAGACAGTGCTGTCAGATACGCATATTGGCATCTGTACCTCAGCTGCCTCTTCCATGGGGTGGGTGGGAGGAGATCTGGGGCCATATTTTCTCTCCGGACCCTGCCGCTGCCTTACAGACCTCGCAGCCACTCAGTCTGGGCGGTGATGATTTTGGACCTGCTGCGTCTTGCCCTTTCTGTGGAGGTGGCAGTAATGGTTCTGAGAGCAAACTTGGAGAAAAAGGGAAACAACTCAAGGGAAGAGAGAGAGCCCCACGGTGCATCTCAGGTGGTCTCCTTGTCTTGACTTGGCTGTCACTCCCGAGAGTTGACAAACCCTCTCAATGGCCTCTGAGCGCCCACAGCTCTCTTTTCTGGGGTTTTAAAAATAGCTCCCAAATTAGAAAGGAATTGCAAGGGGTCCTTTCTTGTTTTGACTGGCACATGACCTGGTAATTATAAATTGTTCTTCGCAGGAGCATTGTCTTGAGCGATCCAAAGAAGAAATGCACTGTCACTGGCGACCCTGAGATCTCTCCAAAATGACATTCTTCACGAAGCCAAAAGCCAAGATCTGAAGGTCATTATTATTTCAGGTATTGATCAGATGTCCATCCTCAGTGTTCTGCAGAGCCCAGAAGAGGTGTCTCAAAATTCTTTGGTTAACTAGGGCATTCCCTCATTTAATGGGAGAATTGTTTGGAAGCTCCTAAACTTGTGCGTGGTGGGAACCTTGGTGCTGACACTACGGACTGTGGAAATTATGGCAAAGATTACTGTGCAGTGAAAATATGTCTTTTCCTTTCTGTTGGATACTAAACATTGCCACTCGTGGCTATGCTGGTCTTCCCATCAAAAGCAGAGCACTGATTTCCTCGTGGACCTTATATGATGGGTTTAATCGCCAGTCCTTTTGGTAGACTGCCTAGTCGGCTAGGACCAGGCTGCTAGGACACTCGATCGGTTTGTCTTTCAGTTCTTACCAGGCTCCCAACTGAGATGAGCAGTCTTCTTCAACGGTGCCAGAAAGGGTGCCATATTTTGCCCAATTCTTTCCTTGCTCTTTTTCCAGTAAGAATTTTTACCAAATTATCTGGTGATGATGGCAGTGGTATAAATAATAGCAATGTCAGGATTTTTAAAGCATCCACAGACAAGTAATATGGATGATGCTCTGTGATACTTTTTTTTAAAAAAATTAAGGATCAGGGCTTCCCTGGTGGCGCAGTGGTTGAGAGTCCGCCTGCCGATGCAGGGGACACAGGTTCGTGCCCCGGTCCTGGAGGATCCCACGTGCCGCGGGGCGGCTGGGCCCGTGAGCCACGGCCGCTGAGCCTGCGTGTCCGGAGGCTGTGCTCCGAGGCGGGAGAGGCCACAACAGTGAGAGGCCCGCGTACCACCAAAAAAAAAAAAAAAAAATTAAGGATCAGTGTTTCTGGAGAATGTGACCTTCTTATCAGTGGTTGAATATACATTTTCAACTGTTTTATGTGGTGAAGAGAAAAGAAATAGAGCTGTTTGAGGTCAGCAGTCAGGGGCGTAACCCGGACGCAGCGAAGGCAGCTCACGTCCAGACGGCACCATTTCCTCCCTTGCTGCCTGTCAGAACCGCCAGGACAAGAGGAAATATGAAGTGTTACCGGCTTATCAGTGGAATTATGTTTTGTTGTTGTGGTTAATGACAACAATGACAATAAATCCACCTACTCAGGTCCCTTGTTTATAAAATAAAGGGATTCTCTTCACACTTTGACCTTCCTGACTCCTGCCCTAGGGGTGGCCCGTTGTCTACAGGCTAAATGACAGGGGCGCTGCTGAAGGCCTGGTGGATTTATGTGGCCCTGGGTCAGTCGGTATACTCAGGCCAGACCACGTCCCAAAACAAAATTGTGGGACCAAAGGGACGACTCTGAAGAGAGTACCGTCGCCTTGGTCCCTGAGCCTGCTCCTTTCTGTAATTGTGTGTTTTCATTGGTTTCCACCAGGGACCTTTTAGAAAACAGATGCCTCACCCTGCACTGTCATCATAAAATACTGGCTGTAGCTTTTCAGGCTAACTGGAATTATTCTTATCAAAATCAGGCCATTAACTTTCTCTAAGTGTCCACAGCATCGATACGATCGCTCCCTGAAGTTATTTATAGCCCCAGCTCTGGCTATTTACATCTCCGTCTTTTCTTTGCTCAACTGGAATCACTGCAGCTGAGGGGCCTGTATTTTCTTCTGGGCATGATTGAAAGGAACTGACGAATGAGCATAGCCCAGATTATCACGCTGAAGTGTTCCGAACCTGTTCTGAGGTAAGCCAGGGTGACAGTTGACATTGCAAGCCTGAGAGTGATAACAGTATTAAATATTGAATTAGGCTTCTAGTTTACAGATAAGGTCTTAAGCTATGAGACGTCACCACTGCAGAACTACTGAAACCTCTATGGTCATTGGCGAACCCTTCATCCAAGCAACTATTTGGTGTAGACTTTTCAGAAGTGACCGTGGTTGGCTTTTGATCTTGCCATAGGCCAAAGAAACGAAAACACATGCTGCGACTCAGAGTTGCCATCTCTGCCTTAAGGGGGTATGTCTTGGTATCCATGTCTTAAGTAAGAGGTAAAGGGTAGAAATGTACATCTTTAGAGAGGAAGAACCTAAGATTATTAAAAGTTTTAAAATTTTAAACTAAAACAACTCTGTTAATGGCAAAGAGAGCATTCATAACAATAATGATTATTATTTTTTTATTTTTATTTTTTTTGTGGTACGCGGGCCTCTCACTGTTGTGGCCTCTCCCGTTGCGGAGCACAGGCTCCGGACGCGCAGGCTCAGCGGCCATGGCTCATGGGCCCAGCTGCTCCACGGCATGTGGGATCTTCCCAGACCGGGAGACGAACCCGTGTCCCCTGCATCGGCAGGCGGACTCTCAACCGCTGCACCACCAGGGAAGCCCTTAACAATAATGATTTTCAAAATTACTTTCAAACCCTTCTTTCAACTAACCTTTATAATCACTGCCTCCAAGTAGGAAAATTACCTTCTTCATTTTCCCCTCCGTCTTCTGTCTCTTTAACCACATTAAGGAGGGAAATTGACAACAGATGCAGGGGAGGAAGGACAAAAGTTGGGGGTGACTTACAAATGCATCAAATCAACCCAGATAACCAAAAATATAGAATCCAACTTTAAGTAACATATTGTTCATTTAATGAGCATCTATTGAGCACCTGCTATATGCATACTTGCAAGATACTGAGGGAAACAGAAGGAAAAAAGAGTTTCCAGCCGACCTGAAACTGGAAACCTAGTTGAGAAGGAAGACGTATAAAGCAGTTTCATAACCTAACCCTAAGATTACTTCACCTAATTTCTCCCTCGTACATTGACTTAATCATTCATCTCTTTGGTTATCAATGTTATTAATGATTCAAAAAATATTTAGCGATACCTTCAATGTACCTTCAATGTAGACCAGACAAAAATGAGCATCAGAGAGGGGAAGGGGAAGGTGATTGGGATACATCCTCGTTTTCCCTGCCCTTCCAGAAACCCCTTAGGAGATCACATTATAGTTTCTCATTTCGTGGAGGGACAAACCAGAAAAGTGATTGACTTGACTTCATGGAGATGGAAGCAAGTCAGAGCCAAGACTTCAGTCTTTTGTTTCACATTAATGATGATTATGGGACATTCCGCTGTGTGTTTGCCAGGACTTGGTGCTTTAAAAGTTATTTTTCTACTAATACCTGGTATGTTTGGTCGAAAATAGAAAATCATCATAGAGAACCAGTGGAGCCCTTCCGTCCTCCCTAAAGAGCCTGTTTCGGTCACTTTTCTGTGGTATCTTCATGAACTGAGATCTAAACAGAAAAGGGCCACAGGGGAGCTGAGATTCTTCCCCGGACAAAGGCCAGATTTTCTGGAAGCTTCCACCCCACGGATGCCTCCAACTCACTGAAAAAAGACGCATACAGGACCTCACCCCGATGTAGTAAAATAGGAGCTGAAAGTACACGGACTTCTTTAATACTTTTTCGAAGAAAATCACATTGCCCTGGATAAATCCGAACACCGCGAACTGGTGTGAGATTTCAGTTTGCAAGTGTAATCAGCAGGCAGACTGGAACAGAATGAGCTAGGTATTTCCCCGTTCAGTTTATGCATGAGAACAGGTGACGGTAGAAAGGAAGAAATATCTGGATTGTCTCCGCATCTAAGTTCTGTAGCAGATTTGTCACAGACCACAAGTGCCGCATGATGGTTAGTTATTTACAAATCAGAAATGGGGCAAATTGAAAATGAGAAGAAACACCTGGTCAGGGAAGAGCGAACGTCACCTCCCTCGGGCAGATGTGGGGGGCTTTCGCTGGAGGCCTATCCTGGTCTCTTCTTTCGTCCCGTTCAAGTTTGAAGGTGGAAACCCTGGTCCAGGAAGAGTCTTCCCTCCTCCTCACACCCACCACTGACATGACAAAGGGACAGGGCCACTTGCTTTGGGAACGAGCGTAGAACCCTCCGTGATGCTGTTCGGTGAGGCTGGGGCAGAGTTAAATTTATGTCCCATTTTGGAGTAGGCAGGACCAAAACAAGTACTGAATTCAGGAGGCAAAATAGGAGGACTAATCATTCTTGACAATCAAGGGATTGGTTACCCAGCTGGTGTATTAGCTAGGTTCCCTCTGTCTTTCCTGAATTGCTCTCTAACTTTATTTAAAATATTTTTTTAATTATAAAAGTAATAGATACTTCTTATAGAAAATTTGGAAAATCTAGAAGAACAAAAGGAAGAAAAATAAATTACTGATACTACCCATGAACATACCACACAGAGAACTGTAATTAATATTTTGCTGTATTTCTTTTTCATCCTTTCCCATGTGTACCCATTTGTTTGAATGATCATACATGGGTGTGATTATACAGTATAATTATATAATATCATCATAGCATTGAATGCTTACTATGTGCCAGGTGATACTTTGAGAACTTTAGACATGTTAATTTACATAATCTTCCTGTTCTGTAAGGTTGTTACTATAATTATACCCATTTTACAGATGTGAAGACTGAGGGATAGGCAGAAAGTAAGTGATAGCCGGGGTGTCAGCCCCCAGCAGCCTCACTGCAGACCACCATGCTGATATTTCTCTCAGAATATTTCATTGTAATACGAATGTAGCATTCCATTGCATTGGAATATATTTTAGTTTATATAGCCATTTACTTATTTTTGTATATTTATATTACTTATAGTTTTTACTATTATAAAATAATGATTTGGTGAACATCTTGGTCCAGACAGCTTTTTGCCCTATTTCAGATTATTTCTTAGAATGCCTAGATCGAGGGTAGGATATTTTTAATGTTGGTGATCTACTGGATTGCCTAAGTATTTCCCACCAGCTTGTGTGGAATCTCAGCCCTTCCTAGAAGACAGGCAGGAGACAGACTGTGCCACCCAAGTCACAGCCAACTGACTCTTCATACCTTCAGTTGATCAGGTGACGGATGACACTCAGAGCTGAAATAGTCTTTTCTGTCTCTGCAGTCAGACCTTAGACGCTCTTGTGCAGCCTGCTTGCTACTGTATCCACTGAGAAGCAGCGCTGCCCCTCACCTTCCCCATCCTCACGTATGTGCACGAACAACCTATACCCACCAGCAGTTTGGGGTGCTGGTACATAATATGTGCATTCCTCTGGAGGAGGGTCATTAGCATTTACCAGATTCTCAAAAGGCGAACCCCCAAAGTCAGGAATATGATATCATATCCCTAAATATATAATTGGTCATTTTATAATAAAGCTGTCAAGTATCAAATGTTCATGAACACAAAAGGTAAGTTCCTTAGGCAAACCCTTGGAATCTGTGAAGGTCGTTTTCCTTGGAGCGGCTGCGTGGGAAGCAAGGCCAGGTCCCCGCCTCCCTTCCCTCCTGCCGGGGTCGAAGGGCAAACATTTATACACTGAAGTCACCATAGTAACACAATCTGTTTAGAGTGTCATGGGAAAAAAATGGAGAAATTAGCCAAGTTATTTCATAAGCTCAAAACTAAGTTAAAGTTCTGGAGATTTTGGGGGGGAGGGGTCTCACCTGAGCCAGTTTCCAGCTCCCCTCTCTGTGCCAATGCATTTTGGAATTTTGTTTATTTTATTTTATTTTATTTTATTTTATTTATTTATTTATTTATTTATTTTGCGGTACGCGGGCCTCTCACTGTTGTGGCCTCTTCCGTTGCGGAGCACAGGCTCCGGACGCGCAGGCTCAGCGGCCATGGCTCACGGGCCCAGCCGCTCCGTGGCATGTGGGATCCTCCTGGACCAGGGCACGAACCCGTGTCCCCTGCATCGGCAGGTGGACTCTCAACCACTGCGCCACCAGGGAAGCCCTGGAATTTTGTTTATTTTGATGACAGCGGGGTGTTCCCCACCATCTTAATAGAATTGAGAGAGTATCATGGTGGTAATTGGAGAAGTAATTACTAAGGAAATTACCTCCCAGGCCCTTTCCCACCTGTTTCAGACTTTGAACACAAGAGCTCCATGCAGGCACCTTTGGGACAGAACTGCTTGTTCCCCAGAGGTCAAAGCCCTCTTCTGCAGCGGGGTTGCTAGGGGAGCGGTTGAGGGGACAGCGTCCTCACAGAAATCATGCTTAGGGACAGACCAGGGGCCTGGAGTCAGACAGAGGTGGCTCAGACCCCATAGCCCCCCTCGCAGATCTGGTGGCCTTAGGGGGTTACTTCCCCCATGAGCCTTAGTGTCCTGGTTCCTTCCTCCTGGATCTCAGGAAGACCAAATCACACATTCTGGCTCACCGTCGATATTTAATGAAAGTTATTCTCTTTGTGACTTCCCCTACCCTTTTTGTCATAGAATCTGATAGACTGATAGCATATGAAGAGGGCTCTGAAAACAGTAAAGTCACATAAAATCCTAAGTGTTACTGTCGCACCTCACTCTTGGATGGAAGCGAAGCAGGTGTGTTTGCTCTTCAGGTCATGATGCTGATCCAGACCCACCCGGTCCCCATCATCGCCATGGTGAACGGCCTGGCCACTGCCGCTGGGTGTCAGCTGGTTGCCAGCTGTGACATTGTTGTGGCGAGTGACAAGTCCTCCTTTACCACGCTGGGCGTGAACATCGGGCTCTTCTGCTCCACCCCCGGGGTGGCCTTGGGGAGAGCGGGGAGGCCTTGGGGAGAGAAAGTTAACTGAACTCCCTGAACCCCCTTGCTAACTGTGATCCTCCAGTGCCTGTGAGGGTGAGTTCCGGAACTTGCTTGTTGAAAGTACCATTTGATTCAGGACATTCTGCCCAAAGCAGAGCTGGCTGAATGTACTAATGTCTCGTGTTGGGAGGTTATCCCAGTGGCTGTCAGTTTGTAAATCACTGCTTTTCATTCTTGCCTACCCCTCAATACAGCTGGTTAGGTTTTTAGATATGCTTTGTTTTCATAAAGGTGAACATGTTTTGCACTCTTATTTGAAATGCAATTCAGACACAGTTTTGTTGCACGGAAAGGTTGCCCATGAGCTATAATAGCATGGTGACATATGCCAGTATAAGAGGCTAGGACATTCTGTCGCTGGCTTCCTGTTTGCCAGCAATCTGTCTCATTCCAGAACGGACTGAAAGTAGCTGATACACTGAGTGTGTCAGGTTTGCAGTGGTTGCAGGAATGTCCTGTACATGGTGTGTCGAATCTGCCCCAGAAGGAGCTGCCCTGCCAGAGTTGTTCTGTTATTGCTAACCCGAGTGAAGTCCACTTTCTTCACAAAGCTTTCCTCCTTCCTATAACGTCATAAAGAATGTTTACTGAACAGCTCTTAAGTAGAAACTGGTGGTTTCCTTGTTCTAGAAAAATACATCCTTATTCTCAACTGGAAATCTGTTTTTAAAGGGGGTGCCAGAGTTGTAGCAAGTAGGGAATCTAAATTGCTTTCTAGAATATATTAACCATTTTAGCATCAACTAGGAAAATTAGCAGTTGCTCATATGCCGGAGGCACAAAAGAAATGAGCCCCAAGGGAAATCAAGCCACAGGACGGAGAGGTTCAGGGAAGCACACCTGCCTTTCATGCACCTCATTAGCTTTTACAGAAATGTGTGCTTGTGAGAAAATTCTGGTGACAGGTACGTACAAACACATACACTTATGAAAACGAGCTGGACATGGGCTCCACATTGGAAAAAGTGACCCTCAGAACACAACAGCTTGCTCCAGTGTCCTCAGACTCAGGGGGGTGTCTGGATCCCACCAGGATACACATTTACCTTAAATGTTATATATTAATTCAATAAATACTTCTTAAGTCCCTGCTTGGTGCCAGCACATTAAATTAAAATGCATCACAAAGTTATCGTCAGAGCTTATGAACGAAGTATCTTATAATTGTGCAAATCAAATCTCCAGGCCTTTTGCACATTAAAGGTGGTTGCTTGGCCAACCTGCTGCTGTTCAGCTTTGACACCTAACATTCTGGAAGGTTCCATGTTAAAGCATTTGAAAACTTTAAATCAGCCCTACTTTCCAGATAAGAATCTATTCTTTCTCAAAACAAACTTTAGGACTTCCCTCGTGGCACAGTGGTTAAGAATCTGCCTGCCAATGCAGGGGAGTGCATTCAAGCCCTGGTCAAGGAAGATCCCACATGCCACGGAGCAACTAAGCCCGTGCGCCATAACTACTGAGCCTGCGCTCTAGAGCCCGTGCTCCGCAACAAGAAGCCGCCATAAAGAGAAGCCCGAGCACCACAACGAAGAGTAGTCCCCGCTCGCCTCAACTAGAGAAAGCCCGCGCGCAGCAACGAAGACCCAACACAGACAAAAATTTAAAATTCTCATTAAAAAAAATCTTCAAAACAAACTTTAAAAATCAAGGCTTATACTTGAGTCCCAGAAACTTACAAATTGATTATATGTGTCAAATTTTAAATTCGTTTTTGAGAAGAAAGAAGGAAAAAAAAATTTGTCAAAGACAGGCCTTAAATTCCCAGGAAGCCCAGTTCTCAGAACCATGTTGCATAAATTTCACCTGCGTGCCCCCTCCCACCCGCCCCAGGAGGAAAACTAGGGATTCACAAAAATCTAAAACCAACCAAAACACACCTGCCTGTCGTCAGTGCTTGTCTGCACCCACAGGGGCGCATCCGTACACGGGCCGCCACCTGCGTGGGTGACAGGCCAGCGTTCCCGTGCACACTGCCGGGAAGCAAAAACAAGCGGGTGCCGGGAAGCTCCGCCCCTTTCAACACGGCTGAGGCGGCAGGTGTGGGTCGCCAGTGCCCTCTGCTGGTCACCCTAGGGAACTGCCCAGCGTGCGGAGGACGCTGCCCTTTGTCCGGCAGAAACAGTGGCGAGGAGCCCTCGGGTTCCAGCCAGACTGAGCCTGGGCGTGAATCATTTACCACGTGTGCAAAGTGTCCCCCTCCCCCGGCTTGAGTTAAATATGCATCTTCGCTGCACGTATAGACGACCTGCCTGGTGCAGCTGCTCCCTCCCTCAGTCAGAGCTGGTCTCGCCCAGCCCCTAAAGCAGTGGGTACCACGGGCAGGGGGAGCACGTGAAAGACCAGAGCCCCGGCTTCCCAAACCAGTCAGGTCCCCGCGGGAACACCTGCTTCCCCCAGTTTACCCACAGTAACTCTGTGCATCTGCGGGATCTGAATTCCTAATTGATTAGATCAGAGTAGAACTTGCAAGATGGAGAGGATGTTAAGTGAAAGCCTTGCAACCCAGCCCGCGTGCAGATCACCAGAGAGCCTGGGAACCGGGGGTCTCAGGGCCCCCCCAGACCCACCGCGTCAGAATCTGCATGTTAACGGTGACGCTGTGGCCACCACAGGCGTATGTTCAACAGCCCACCTCACGGGAGGGCTGGGGTCTCGGTGACTCACCGGAAGTCTCCCGGCTGAGGAAGTTAACCCATGATCCCCTGTCAGGCCCTTCGCTTCCGGTCCTGCCGAATCGCAGCCCTAACGGCGAAGCACCACCAGCTCGTTCTTCTGCACGTGCCTTGAGGAACCCCAGAGACCCCTCTGCTTTAAATAATCAGGGGCCTTGATACCTAAAGCCAACATTGGAGATCCATACAAATTTACAGGAGGAAGAAGCCTGTTAATAACAGGCACTGCATTTACTAGGGGCCTCCTGGGTGCCCTGCACTGTAGTATAAGTTTTACACAGCTTTCTCCAATCTTCACAATTCTGCAGGAGAATGGGAATCTTTACTCCCATTTTTTCAGATGAGGAAACAGGCTCAGAGGGTTAAAGTGCCCCCTTAAGTTTGTGTGGTTGGTAAGTGGGATTGGAACTTGGGGACATCAGACACCAGGGGTCAGCCTTGAAGGTCAGCCTTGGCTTCAAGTGCTTTTTGTTGCTTTTAATACAGATACTCTGGGAAGAGGAAGTATAAAATCACCACCTTGTTAGGGGGACCCTAACAAGAGTTGATTACAGAAAAGGGTGAGAGGAGGTATTTTCTTCTCTCATCTGAAGTTTCAGGGGAAACAGTAAGTAAACATTGTGCTAATTCGCCACAAAATAGGCTTTCTTTTTCTCAGGGAATGCCACTCTATTATCTAATCCGTGTGGGTACAACCCCTATAAATCAGTGTGGTGCTAAATATCGTTACCCCACCAGGCAGATAAGGACACTGATGCCAGAGAGGGCCATGGACTAGGTGGGACCAGGCAGGAAGCTGAAGGCAGGCCAGGAACATGAGTGCCCGGGACAGGGGGGGACTCTCGTGTTCTCTTGCTCCTTCCCCAGATCGGACCCCCTGGCCTCTGCCCTTCACTGGGACTCGCTGGGAGTCTTCAGAGGCGTCTTACTTAGCAGCCCTCAATCAGCAGGACCGGTTTTTAGCTCCACATTCAAACAGGCACTTCAGACACGCTTTGCAGTGACAATGCTGTTCCTCTTCAACTATGAGATAGTCTCTGTAGCTCCTGCTGCCTCCAACATGTTATCATGAAATTTCCAAAATTGGACAACATTGGGATTTAGTCCTCTCCCCTAACTGCAGAGGAGAAAATGGGACCAACATTGCCTTGTCCCTGGTGGCCAGTCCAGTCCACTGTGTGCTCCATCTGTACCTATGATGGCATCTGTACCCGCCTTCTGGCCTCTCCTCTTCCACCAAAGCCCAATCCCTCTGTGATACGATCTAGTCTCATGATTCAAAAAACCACCTTAATCGGTGGTTCTAATCTGGGAGCGGTATTGGCGCCAGGGGCCGTTTGGCAGTGCCTTAATAGTCACAAGTTGGGACAGGGGTACTGCTGCCCAGTAGATAGAGGCCAGGGATGCCACAAACATCCTACAATGCCCAAGACAGCCCCACACGACAAAAAAATTATCTGGTCCCAAACATACAATAGCCCTGAGGTTGAAAACCCATGACCTAAGTGCTGATGATACCACAAGCTAGTCCAATGATCTATAACAAACCACCCTCAACTCAGTGGCTCCAAACAATAGTAATTTGTTTAGCTCGTGAATCTGCAACTTGGACAGGGCTCAGAGAGGAAGGCTTATCTCTGCACCACAATGTCCGTGGCCTCAGCTGGGAAGATTTGAAAGGGGAGCATGACATTTGGGGGCAGTGGTCTGAGGGCCCACCCGCTCCCACATCTGGCTGTTGAGGCTGCCTCTCAGCTGAGACCTTGGCTGGGCTGGTCAGGGGCACACACAGCACAGCCTCAGTGTGGCTCGGGCTTCCTCACGGAGTGGCAGCTGGGCTCCAAGGCTGAACAGCCGGAGAGAAAGACCAGTGGAAGCCGTGTCACCTTCTGACCTGGCCTCTGCAGGACTGTGGCATCACCTCTCCTGTACTGTTTGCCTCCATCCATCCACTCCTTAAATCACTCACCAATAAATATCCTGGAGGCTGCCTACTATGTGCAAGGTACTCTTCTCGTGTTGGCGATACAGAAATAAACAGAAGAGTAAAAAAAAAAAAAAAAAGTCTCTGACCTAGTGAAGTTTATGTGCCAACAAAGGAGATAATACAATAAACAAAATGAATGTGTAAAATATATAGTAAATGGTGAAAGTGCAAAGGAAGACAATGCAGCCAGAAGGGGGGATGGTGCTGGGGTGTGAGCTGTGATTTCAATAGAGTGGTGACACATGACCTGAAGGAGATGAGGAGGGTCCTGTGTGCTCATGGATCCTGTCCCTGGGAGGAGTCTGGGGATGGAAGACCTCAGGGGTGATGGGGACATGGTGTTTGAGGAGCAGGTAACTGGGCCAAGTGTCATGGTACAAACAGTCTCTGCAGAGTGAAGCGGGGCGGGTGGGGCCTGGGCGGCGCTGGGTCGCAGGATGGCCAGTGCCTAAGTAATGGCCCCTGTCCCCTCCCACAGGTAGCCTTGGAGGTGTTCTTCACCGGGGAGCCCGTTTCTGCATGGGAGGCCCTGCTCCACAGGCTGCTGAGCAGGGTGGTGCCGGAGGACGAGACCACGTGGATGGCGAGGAAGGTGGCCTCGCCAGGCCGGCCCGTGCTGTCGCTGGGCAAAGCCGCCCTCTACGGGCAGCTGGCTCGGGACCTCAGGACTGCCTGCCACCTCACCTCCCAGACCATGGTGGACAGCCTGGGCCTGCCGGATGGCCAGGAGGGGGGTCAAGGCCTTCCTCCAGAAGAGGAAGCCCGTCTGGTCACACTGAGCGGCCTCATCAGAGGAACCAGGGGTCGTGAGCCCAGTGGGCAGCGCTCAGGGTTCCCCCTCACCGGCCCCACCCGTGACCTTCCAACCCCCAGGCACCACCGCTGCCTCGTGACTGTAGCAGAGCCAGCCTGCTTTTCCGGCATCAGTCACGTCTCAGTGCACGGTGTCTGGGTTACGAGTCAGCGCTCCCTCGGGAAGGGGTGACCTGGAGAGTCGGGTGCTAACTTGAGTGGAAGGGCTGTGAGCACACAAGAAAGCCCATGTGTGACGCTCCTTCCCAGGACCTTAGATGAGGGGATGCCCCCCCCCCAGGGGAGAAGGTGAAGATAAAACTGAGGTGAGAAGGAAGGATTTCAGCCCGACTCTGTGACAGGAAAGGGCCCCCAAGGTGGAGGTGATGCCAGTTGCCCACAACAGAAACATTGCAGATCTTCACGAGATGCTCTCCCCTCTGAAAAGCTTCCTGATTCTATTGAGAAATAATCATGCCTCTGGCTTTGGGATAATCTTACGGGGTCTTTTAAAGATTACCTATTTAGAGAGACTGGTAATTTTAACTTCCCAACCAGACTGTAAGCTGGTTGAGAGAAGAAAATCAATGAACTCTGTCTTTGACGCCTGTGCTGATGGACGTCCAGCAGGTGCCTGGTGCTTCTGTAACGAAGGTCCCTGCCACCAGGATACTGGGAGCCCGGACCCTGGGCTAAACCTGAGGATAAAAGCATCAGGGAGAGAAAGGAGGGACGCAGAACACACATTGTCCCCACGAAGGATCACCTCCTCCAGAAGCATTTCCAAACTCTGCTCAGCTTCTGGTAAAGAATCCAGACTAGCCCCAAGCATTTGAGTTCCCCAACAGTGGTTTAGGACCTAAACATCTTACTTCCTGGCTTCTGGTCCAGTTAGGCCCCAGAAATGTCCCAGACCTCCCCTCCACCAGCTCACACCTGGGGCTGATCATGTTTTTTAAGGCCAATTTTTTTTTACCTATGATTAGAGTGGCCATAAATGTAATTCGTACCAAAGACAGAGACCCGTGAGGCTCTACCCGGTGGTTCTCATTCTAATCACGGGGGCAAGCAGCCCCTGGAAGGGAGGTCCCCTAGTGGGTTTCTATTGAGATTGGCCTTTGTTGTTGTTTTTTTTTCTTTGCCAGAGTTTAGAAAGGTGAAAAAGAGTGTTTTCTTGGAGGGCTTCCCTGGTGGCGCAGTGGTTAAAATCCACCTGCAAAAAAAAAAAATCCACCTGCCAGTGCAGGGGACACAGGTTTGAGCTCTGGTCGGGGAAGATCCCACATGCCACGGAGCAACTAAACCCGTGCACCACAACTGCTGAGCCTGTGCTCTAGAGCCTACGAGCCACAACTACTGAAGCCTGCGCGCCTAGAGCCCGTGCTCCACAAGAGAAGCCGCTGCAATGAGAAGCCCGCGCACTGCAACGAAGAGCAGCCCCTGCTCGCCACAACTAGAAGAAGCCGGCACGCAGCAACGAAGACCCAACGCAGCCAAAAATAAGTAAAATAAATGTAAAAAAGAATGTTTTCTTGGAAAGGAGGAGCTTGTTACTGAGAATGTTCCTCAGAAGAAGAAAGATCATCAGAGCCACCAGTCCCTGGAGCCCAGTACACACCAGCACCCCCTGTACATCCTCATTCAGTCACCACCAGAATCCAGCAGAGCGGGGCCACCATCACCTCCAGCTTACAGATGCGTGGTGGAGACCGGGGAGAGGGAGGGTCCCAGACTCTGTCTGCTGATAAAGCCGTGGGTGCCCTCCCCGCCGGCTGCCCACCTTGTCGGGGAGCCTGGGCTGGAGGGAGGCCGGCCTGAAGACCTGACCCCTGCCCCTCAGCTTTCCAAACCCAGGGCTGGACTAAGCGCGCCCCCTGGAGGACTTTGCCGGCGCACCGAGGACGTGGGATTTGACCATTGGCAAATCACCAGTGGAGTTTTACTACGAATCTGATAAACTGTCTGAAATTTCAACCCAGGCTGTGAAGGACTGGCCGTCATGATCTGCTCAAAAATAATCCACCAGTGGGGCCCCTGCGGGTTGCCCCCTGTGGGAGTTGCTGTGTGGCTGTTGATGGATCCCACAGTGAGGAGAGGGTTTTATAAACTCCGGGCTTTGGAGAAAGTTAGCAAAGCCTTCTCACACGTTCCAAGGAAAACCAAGTTGCCTTTCCAGTTTCTGTATGAGCGGCAACATAGCCTCCAACCAGGAAATCCTCTGGCCTCTAGGCTGGCTTCCCAACCTGTGAGCTGAAGTGCCTCAGGAACTTGCTATAAATCTTAATAATCGACAGAGCAAACAATAATCCAGAAGGGAAATCTGCTACCCAAACACCAGTGTCATATGATTCACCCTCAAGGCAAATACAAATTGGGGGTTAATTTGCATCTCTGCTTCCTTCCACTGGGATATTGAATGAAAACTTTCTTTTTTTTTTTTTTTTTTTTTTTTTTTTTTTTTGTTG